CATGATTGGTCATATTTACATGGTAGCATCCTCAGGTAGTGTAGATTCAAGTTTGTAGAAATCAGGAACCCCAAAGGGTCAGGTGGGGCCACAATTGGCAATCAAAGTTTTACATAGGAGTACATAGGAAAAATCTTTAAAAATCTTCTTCTCAAGAACAGCCAAGCCATGATTGGTCATATTTACATGGAAGCATCCTCAGGTAGTGTAGATTCAAGTTTGTTCAAATCATGACCCCCGGGGATAGGGTGGGGCACAATGGGCGATCAAAGTTTTACATAGGAATACATAGTAAAAATCTTTTTAAAAAAACTATTTCTTAAGAACAGCAAAGCCATGATTGGTCATATTTGTATGGAAGCATTCTTAGATAGTGTAGATTCAAGTTTGTTCAAACATGACCCCTGGGGGTAGGGTGGGGCCACAATGGGTGATCAAAGTTTTACATAGTAATATATAGGTAAAATATTTAAAAATCTTCATCTCAAGAACAGCAAAGCCATGATTGGTCATATTTACATTGTAGCATCCTCAGATAGTGTAGATTCAAATTTGTTCAAACCATGACCCCCGGGGGTAAGGTAGGGTCACAATGGGTGATCAAAGTTTTACATAGGAATTATACATAGGAAAAATCTTTAAAAATTTTCTACTCAAGAACAGCAAAGCCATGATTGGTCATATTTAAATGGAAGCATCCTCAGGTAATGTAGATTCAAATTTTGTTCAATTCATGCCCCCCCCCCCTCCCCGAACCACTTATATATTTAAGCTTTTCAACCTTTCAAGACTGAACTGATTTCTGCTTTTTCCTAGCCATAGTGCTCAGGTGAGCGATGTGGCCCCTGTGCCTCTTCTTATTTGTGTGTGTCGGGGGGGGGGGGGGATGAATGTGTGTGTAAGTGGGTGGGAAGGGGGGGGGGTTATTAGAATGACTGACGTCAATGAGGCACAAAACATAATCTTTTCAAATCAATAATACCTTTATTAAACGATATTTTTTTTATTGATATAAATATTTTACAATATATACTTACCCGGCCGAATTTATTTACACTGTTATGCACAGAGTCTATCGAACAATTCATTTTTATCACATTTAATTATAATTTACTATTTGAACTTGTACTGCTGTGTGCAAGCATATGTATCAACGCTATCTGGCGACTAAATGAACTTGAGTAGATAACATTCCTTCCAAAAATGCCCGCCATCCGGTGTCCTGTAAATTAAGATATAACAAATCATTGATTTTCTGACAACAAACATTTGCAAAGGAAGGAAAATGGTTATGATTTACCCTAAATCGAGTTAGATCATGCAATTAAAAATGTCTAAAAGCTTTGACAAAGAGGATTATAACACATATAGGGCATCAAATGCCTGGTATTCCTTTCGAATGACGTTGTTTGGCTATACATGCAGCCCAGTTAGTCCTGTTGGTGGGCACTGAAATTCAAAATATATACATGTAGTTGTTACATGTTATTTAAACATTTTATAATTTGTTATAATTAGTTTTTGACGAAAGTCGTCATGTTGCAGCTTTCATTTAGGAAATAAAATAAATATATATATCATAAAGATATTACCTAAACATTTTTTTTTAAATCCAGAGCGACGAGAGAGCAAGCAAACATATTTTTTAAAGATGGTCTCACCTATAGCCATACCTACATGAATATAGTCTAACAAGTGAACGGAAGCAAAAAGTTAATAATAATAATAATAATAATAATAATAATAATAAAACCTAGCTAGTTGCTTTCAAAAATATACCAGAATGTGACCCCCCACCGCCTTTTGAAAGCTTTATTTACGTTCCATTTCCATTAGGGAACTCTTCAAAATTAGAGGCGCGTTTGGTAGTCTGACTGGGACAGCATGGCGTGGCGGATAATACAAAACATGCCGATCTCAATGCAATTTTAAATGTTAAATGTATTTGTCATTCCAATAAAAGAATAGAAGAACTAATAGACATATGTAAGAGAGCGAGAACCCTAAATTTATCATCCATTAATAAAAAATACGACATTTCCGAGGCATGTATATTGTATTTAGATGTACCATACGATAAATAGATACATACGATCAACAATAGATATAAATTGATATCGTTGTCGTTCCTATTCTTGATGTATATAAAATCCACAACAACAAAATATTTCATTTATATTTTCTTAGGAACTGTTCTACTGTTCATCGACATTCAACATATTGTTTAGAAATCCCGCGAGATTTGTACATGTACGTTTTCCGACTTTTTCACAAAAGAGCGCACTAAGAAGTATAACTCTTCCATATTGGAAATAGAACGTATTCGGGTGAATGATGGATTATTCCAAGAGCCCCAAAGTATAAAAGCCCCAAATCCCAAGACTTCACCCCCTTTATTGTAGATCCATCGAGATTATAATCAATTATGACCTTGACCTATCCTTGATGAGTCATCTCCCTCTGTCTTTAATCAATAAAATATAATAATTAAAAAATCTACTTGGTAGAAAAAAATATCAATTCTTATTCTTGTCCTAATGATTAAAAACACCATTCTTTAAAGCATATATATCAATATTCTTGGTATATCTGAATTTATTTTGCATGTCCCATTTGACCTCCATGATTTAGATATATTTATTACTGATTATAATTAGATAATTACATTGTATAAAATTTCTCTTGGTTAAACCTTTCGTACTCTAAATTAATATCGGAGTATTATATGTGATACATATTTAAGGAGATAGTTTGGTCCTATTAGGGTAGGATACCTTAATACTAAGCCTTCCAGCAATATTTTTATTGTTTTTGCTTGTTTACTGATTGACTTTATACATGTATTCATCAATTATACTAAATGCAGACCTGTTTACCCATATTCAGTATGTTTTATTAGATTTGTCAGTGAGATTTGGCATTTGCCTGTAAGAGTCACTTTCCATCGATTTTACGTATATTACTAGAACACAACTACATTTGTGATTACCAAAGCATGGTTTAACATGTGTTTAATAACATTATACCTTGCTTTTTTTTCGAGGGGTTTCTGTCATTTTTTAAACCACGCGTTTTGGCAACCCGACATCACTGAAGTGTTTGAAATCATTCTCTTTGTTAGCAATTAAAAATCGTCAAACTGAGACAGATCATAACGAAAATTAACTGCTGAAATCCAAACGACAGATTTTCGTATTTTCATAATAGCAAATCGTGAGACGTATTTTGGACTCAAAATCCGTACAAAATACGGCGAAGTCGTAAAAGTAAACAGGTCTGTAAATGTTAGACTCTAAAATTCTACAGATTACCACTATATATATATATATATATATATATATATATATATATATATATATATATATATATATGACTTTTTACACAGGACTCAGGTCTTTGAGCTAATTGCCTTTTTGTTTAATATTCAACCGTATAGATTTTTTTTCCAGTTGTAGAATGGGTAAGGCTGCTTTAAAAAAAAAATGCCTCCCAAAACCGACATTGCATGCATAAAACATCTGAAGACTAGAAGAAGTACACCCTATCAAGACCAAGGTGATTTATGTAATAAATCATATATCAATCACTAATGATGTCATACGCCCCACCCCAACTCAACACCTCTATTTGAAGCCTCTAAGTATCCTGTATATTCAAATAAAGCCTTGAAATTCCAAAGGTAGGCCATCATGACCTACATTTTAGATGAAAAACTCTGAGAACCCAAGATGATTCTAAGCCAATTAGTACCTGAGAGTAGGTCATGGTGACCTACTTATCACTTGTCATTCTCTGAGGACCCAAGATGCATGAACTAAGTTTGATGATTCTAAGCCAATTAATACCTAAAATATTTATAAAATTATAACCATAAAATTTCAAAAGTATGTCACAGTGATCTACTTTTCAGATGACATACTTTGAGGACCCAAGTGCATCAACTAACAAAGTTTGGTGATTCTAAGCCAATTAGTACCTAAAAATATTTAAATAAAGCAATTAATTTTCAAAAGTAGGACACAGTGACCTACATTTCAGTCAACTTACTCCAAGGACCCAAGATGCATCAACTGACAAAGTTTGACGATTGAGATTCTAAGCAAATTAGTACCCGAAATATTTCATTAGAGCCATATAAATTGACAGTACAGAAGATGTACTCCGAGGACCCAAATTGCATCAAGCGACAAATATTGATGATTCTAAGCCAAATAGTACCCGAAAATATTAAATATAGCCATAAAATTTCATAGTCATGGTGAGCTACTTTAGTTGTCGTAGACCCAAGATGCATCAACTGACAAAGTTTGATGATTCTGAGCCAATTAATGCCAGAAATCTTTAATTAAAGCCATAAATTTTCAAAAAATAGGTCACGGTGACCTACTTTTCAGTTGTTTTACTTCGAGAACCCATGATGCATCAACTGACAAAGTTTGATGATTCTAAGCCAATAAATACCTGAAATATTAAATCAAAGCCATAAATTTTCAAAAGTAGGTCACGGTGACCTACTTTTCGGTTGTTGACTCCGAGGACCCAAGATGCATCAACTGACAAAGTTTGATAATTGTAAGCCAATTAGTACCCGAAATATTTAATTATAGTCATATAAATTGAAAAGTAGGTCACTGTTGCCTACTTTTCAATCGACCTACTCTGAGGACCCAAGATACATCACCTGACAAATTTTGATGATTCTAAGCCAAATAGTACCCAAAATATTTGAATATAGCCATAAAATTCTCTTTAAGGGTCACAACCCTAGTTTAAGTATAAGTGGGAGCCCTTGGGCCAAGGATACCCTGTGACAAATTTGACAATTATTGGCCAAGGGGTTCTTGTGTTATGGCCCATATTCTAAAAAGTTTACGCACACCACACAAACGGCCATACCATTAGCTCTTTGAGCCTTTGACTCAGAAGAGCTAAAAACGCAAAGCTCAAACCTACTACCTTAAAAAAAATGACAAACAACTCTTCTATATACTCAAGTCATGTCATGTTGAAAAATATTTTATTCTGACTTTATTGGTCATCTGTAACTAAAGGATCTGGAATAGAAACAGGATTACAGAATTGCATATAGCATTAAACTGAAGCTGGAGTGAGGAATTTATAAGTAAAGATCTCGACTAAATTGTATCATTCATGAGTAAATTTAAATCTACAAAGCTCTGTACATGTATTTAAAACAAAAAAAATATTTTTTTTTAATTATTTTTTGATTTTGCGGAAATAAAATGGTACCTCCATTATTAAATGAAACATATTAAATAACCGTCCAAAATCAATGCAACATTTATACAAATCTTGTCAGAAGTTGTATGTACATGTAGAAGTGTTAATTTTCACAATACACAATAAATAGACTGTATGAATTTAAACCAAACCAGTATGAATTTTGTAATGTACTGTATCTTTACAACAATTAGTATAACAAACATTTATATACATGTATGTCATATATACACATATGTACATTGAATTGTGTGAAATGAGTTATTGTACATGTATTTACATGTAGTAAATATGTGTATATGTATTGCCAAATACTCATCTTGCTTTATAAATAGTACATATGTAAGTTGTACTTGATCTAATTTCATCAATTCATCAGATGTTAAAGAATTGCATTTGTTGTCAATATCTTGTTTCGACAACCTTTTTTCTTGATTTTTTAGCAATAAAATTCTAGTGACCCTTATGGTATAACCTGCAAACACAAGTTCTTCAATTTTTTAAATATTCCTGGTCAATTTGAAAAACTATTATTCATATACACAAGGAATATAAAAATCAAATTTAGCAAACTATTATAATGAATTGGTTATACCATCCTGCGCCCTTAATACTATGCTGCAGTAATGAGCTGGTCAAACCAAAAAATAGATGTAAATATCACACAATTCTGCTTTACTTCTTTCTAATATGTTTTTTGCAAGTCAAACCAAACCTTTATCTAAACATATCCTTCTTTGAAATAGCTGAAGATGTATACATATTTCGGATACTGAATCCTCATCAGTGTTGCTTTACCTAGTATTAAATACAATGAACCTGGTTAAATGAATTTTAAATATACATGTAATATTTTCCACAAATAATTTCAACTAAAATCTAAGAAAAATACCGCCCTTTTAACAGAAAACATTTATGCTAGGAAACATTTTGAAGTTGAAATCCAAAGAAGATTTTATTTTAAATTGAGGAGAAAAATGCACCCCCTCCTCCTCAGTAAGAAATTGGAATTCCAAAATAAATTACCCTCTTATAATTATTACTGCAACAGATATGTATACACTATTTTTTCTTTTTTTTTCTTTTTTTTTTGAAATTGTATTTGTATATTTTTTGTATTGTTTTGTTTTTGTTGTCATTATTTTCCATTTTGTTTGACCAACTCATGCAAATGACACCCGGACCGTCCCTTTGATAGATTCTCGGCACACAGGGCAGTTTTTTAAAGCGGGAGAACACTGGGCACAACTGACCAGGTGACCACAGGGTAAAAAAACAATGGACACCCTCTCCTCACAACACAGAATACACATGGTCCTCTCTCTCATTTCACTGTTTCTTTGTGTAAGCTCCTTGATATCTTAAAAAGGGGAAAAAAAAACATTCACACAAAGATTGTAAACATAGATAATGAACAACAGGTTAATCATTTATTTCCTGGTTCAATTTGACTTCAAAAGCTTTCTGACATTAGAAAATTTTCAAGTCTTAATGTAAATGTACAACTAGTTTTTTTTTTTTTTTTTTTTTTTTTTTTTTCAAATATATGCCTAAGCAATCTTAGAAAAAATGTCAAATTCAGAAACAGGTTAATCTTTTATTTCCTGGTTCAATTTGACTTCAAAAGCTTTCTGACATAAGAAACTTTTTAATTCTTAATGTAAATGTCACTATTTTTTTTAACAAATATATGCCTATAAGCAATCTTAGAAAAATGTCAAATTCAGAAATACGAGTCAATGGTTGACTAGAAATATAAATAAAAGTGAGTATAATTAAATATGAAAATAATTAAAAGACTGATTTAGAAAAATCACCATCAGGCACTCTGTCATTAATTTTCTTCCAGGAACTGTCCGACAAAACTTTAGGAACCATAGAATTTTCTTTGTCAATTTCCCCGGACTCTTCCATGTCGAAAATGATGTTAGCAATGTTTGATCCTGACATACCATCCCAGCCTTAAATAAAGAATTAATCAATTAAAAATAATCATTAATATCAATTAACAACATAAGCAAGCTAGTATGCCAATTTGTTTTTCTTTAATATTATTTTTTAGCTAATGTGTAAAAACTTAGTACAAAACTCACATTATCTCCCTTTAACCAGTAAAGATTTATTAAGCAAATGTTATAATGATGATCTAATGCCATTGGCAAAAAATGTCAATATACTGAATTTCAATATGTAATAAATGTTAAATATAATTTAAGGATTATAACACAATTATTTTAAAGAACACTCTTCTCAATATCAAAAATGAATGACTTTACATTCATCATGTTCATTGTAATACTTTTATAAAAAAAAAAAAAAATTACCCTATAACCAAAGAGACTACAACAATTGATATAATGTAAATAAAAAATATTGATTTCCATTTTAGATGATTTATCATTAATACACCAAAATCTCTAATTCAATATGGCTTCAGAATGATTGATATAAAACAACACTGCAGTGCATAATGATATATAGTGTGGATGATTTTACTCCACATAAGCTATATATGATTTGAAAAATGAATCGGATTGATTTATTGAACATCAATTACAGTAGTCATGCCAAAAAATCATCTCCTCATTTAACAAAGAACTCAGATTAAATTAAAAAAAAATTACACATCCTGAATAACTTTTCAAAGCTTTGATTTTTCTTTTTTTTTATTTTTGGGTTAAAAAGTAGATTATCTCCCTTTAACCAGTAAAAAAAATGAAATTTAAAAAATAGGAATGTTGCCTGTTGTCTTTCTATCCCCCACCTCAAAGTTTCTACACTATGAGGACTGCCTATAAATGCAAATTACAAGCCCACCTTTTGACTGCAGAACTTTATCGACCGCCATCTTGACAATCCTGGGCAGGTACCCCATGGCCAGGACACTCTGTGCGGCGTCACTCAGTAGAGGGTTTTTCTTCTCGGCGTTAGTTGGAGGTTTACGACCTGATGTCAACGACTGACTACTGGTTGCCATGTTATTCTGTATTCCTACAATACAAAATTATCATGAATATCTAATTTTACGTAAAATCAAATTTCTCTTGGACTGAGCAAGTGACCAAGTTTTAAGACATTGATTTTTTTGGCAGATTTTTTTCTTTTCAATTACCAATATGATTGTAATTTACAAGTTTATTTGAATTGATTAAACACTTTTATAAAGTTTCACACAGACATGTGGTGACCTATTGAATAGTACAGAATACAGTAAAACCTGCTTATAAGGAAGTGTCAGGGATAGAAGGTTTTGCTTTGTGTAAGTGTAATTTGTTATATATCCGATAAGTTTACAATATATTTTAAAGTCAAGGGGAATGAAAATCACTTTGCTGTAAGCATGGCTTCATCATAAGCGTGTTCACTATCAGTGTGTTTTTCTATATTACAATTATAGTAAACTGGTCATATAATCTTATTCAATGTACCTATTGTACATTATTCCAATCACTGCAATACTGGCACTCTTCACTTATAGACACTACATTTTGCATATGTACAGTTTTGTGTTTCTTTCATGTCTATCATGCACTTCCCTTTTGTGATTATATAGCAAGAGAAAAAAACATTAATACACCCCCACCATCCCTGTGTAAAGTATTGCCCTATACAGTACAGAAGTAATACCTGTGTCAATGTTGGGTGGTACACAGTCCGCCGCGATATCTGTGGCTTCCCTCGTCATGGCATCAGACTGCTGCTGTAAAGCTTCTTGCTGCAAAACACATTATATATACAATGTAACAGTGATGTCATCTAGTCATTCTAAGTAGTACATGCCAATATTTGAGTGAAATCAACCTCTAATTTGTTTTCTACTGCATAGGCATGCTCCAGCTAAATTTGTAAACAAAAATATATACCTACTATACAAAATATATTTTTTATTTACAACTTAAATTGAGGACTGCCTATATACATGCTCATGTGGTTTATTTTAGGTTAAGGTGAGGTAAAATTATACATGGTCAAATGATGCAGTGATGATTATATTAACATGATTAACAACATTGTATGCATAATGCTGATTGTGAGAAAGAATTTATTTGTCATGAAATATTAAAATAAATGAGCAAAGTAAATGAACAGCTCGCTCTGCTATGATTATGAGATGATATTTCTATTGAGACCTTTCACGTCTACATTTGATCTGAAATGAGGCTTTGTAAATTGACCTTCACTCATCTCCAATTTTAAAAATGTGCTAATTTCAGGGATTTTTTTAAAGAATCGGGGGGGGGGGGGGGGGGGGGGGATTAGACAAGCCAGATGCCCATGTTCGTTTCAAGTATTATCAAGACTTTTGGCCAACCATACACATTTTCAAACTAAATATAGACTGACAGACAGACAAATCAATAACAATTTTAACATGTTTCACAGATCAACTGGCAGAACCCCAAACTACTCATCAGTTTAGGAGGCTGGAGAAACACATGAACAGTATCTATAAATATCTTTTGCAAAAATGCCAAACCAATTGTTTTCCATATTACAGTTGGCATACCACAGCTGTGTCTGCTTCAGCAATACAACAAATAAAGTCTGCCGCACTGCGGTTCAACACCTTAGAGATGATCGATGTTACTGCAAAGGGAGGCTACTGTGCAACTCCACCACAATCCTCTCTTGTATTAATGGAATTGCACTGGGGATATAAATCAATAAGAGAATGAAAACAATCCTCTCAGCTACACATTCTTTATTGATATGGGAATTAAAAACTTGGATCAGATGTCATTCTCATGGCATTTAAAAGTCTGCATTATATTGATTATGTATATAGAACATTATCGAATCAATGAAAGACTGAAATAAGTCAGTTGTGTAATTTCTAGCAGAAATTACTTGTCATACCCTTCAACTAGTGTCTTCAGTCACATGTGTGTTGATCACTGCATACATCTTTTATGGATGACAGATCAGCCTTCCTGGTATATTTTCTGCTTGTCTAATATATATTTTTATACTTTCTGAGTCATCATTTTTGCCAAAGATTGGGTTCTTTTAGATAAGTTAACTGGTTTAGATTCTGCCTCTTAACATGGTTATAAAACCCTAAAACCAGGATTATCCACAAACCTGATACTTCTCCGCTGTTATTTATAGATGATTCAAGTTTTGTATAAAACCGCTGTTACACTGATCAGAAGTATCTTACTTAAAAGATCCTCTTGGTCCTTCTCAGATTTCAGTCTTAAGTATATACAGTGTAGTCATTAAATAATATCTCCATTTTACGCAACATTTACTATAGGCTTATTATATGTAATATAATATCAAAAATGGTTATAACCATCACTATAAATATTATTATAATTAATTATCATGTGATTATAGCATTTCATCAAGCTTTGTTATGTTATGCATCTCATCTTTTTTGTTCTTTTGTCTGCATGTTCAATGAATCATATGTTAGGTGCATTTAAAAAAATTTCTAGAAATTCAGCATGTTTAATTCTGCATGAAGGTGTGATCTTGCATATCATGATTATACATAGTCAGGCCTGTGAACAATAATAATATGATTTTTCATTCAGTCCAATAGAAACAGGAAATTTTATATGCCTCTTATATCCTATTTGATGTACGTGCACTTCTTGTATGATATCACGCAATTATTTGTCAATTAAAGTATCCGATTCAGCTTCATGCATGAAAATGATCAGACAATCTATTTCTTAATACTGTTTTCCAGCCATTTTCATAAATATATTTTATATTTCCTGATGCAATGTAAATGACACAGAAAAGTAAATAAGCCTTATTTCCATGCCCTCTGCAATGAAATACCTGCAGTTTGTGAAGGAAGCATTTTTGGGGTAATTTAAGGAAATTTAAATCCCACTATACCATTTGTTGTTGTCGCACCGCGACTTGTACAAGGTTGATAAAATCTTGTCCTTTTTTGTCTTTGACAAAGAAACATTCCGGGGCCCAGCGGGCGTGTTCCACCCAGGGCTCATCCTCCGGGTCCCAATTCCGCAGTCCTGTCCCACACAAGAAACATCGCACACTGTCCGCTTGACCTAGTGAGAGAAAGAATTTGCATAATGTTAAGTTCTTATTTATAGTAAAATTTTGCATAATCCAAAATCAAAGTATATTACATTTAGGTTTACTCAAAACAAGTCCTCATTTTAATAAATTCATTGGAAAACATTTAGAAAGATTAAGAGACCCACATCCTTATTTAAGGGATAATTTTTCTGTGTACGAAATCACATAAACTTAATTGTCATTTAGGCATATTTCATGAACAGTCAACTCAAAATGAACTCAAAATCAATCAAGAATTTTTTTTTTAGTTTTTGAAAGTCAACTGCATGTCAATGCATGAACAAAATTTTTAGTCTGTAAATATGGTATCGTGGTGGAATAATGTAATTTTTTTTTAATATTTCAACATGTTCTAAAACAAAATACTATGATGACTATCATGCCTATAGGCAATAAGGAAATTAAATCACCTGACAAAAAAACAAAAAAACAAAAAAACTCAGATAGCTTCTTTCAATTAACATGATTAAAAGTATAAGTAATTTCCTTTTTTTTTTCTTCAGATTTTCAAATATTTTAATTCATCAGCTAGTAACATGAGTATAAGTACCATTCTGGGAAACAGGGGAAAAAACATACTGGGAAAAGCCACAAGGAAAAATATTTCAAATTTAGAAAATTACATTGCTTTATATATTATACACAACACCAACTTCTTAAGCATGATTTAATTAATAAAAAAGAGAAATATATTCATTTTCATTTTGCTATTCATAGGAAAATGGAAATCCCCATTTAAAATTATGTCCTCATAACATTAGACCAATGATATTGTAAAGTTTTCCAGCCCGCCTAGTATCATGTTTATGCAGATATGAAAGACAGGCCTAATTTAACCTATCCTGTTTCTGATATTTCTCACACATCAAAGTTGTTGATAAGTCATGTGGGAACAAGTATTGATTACTTTGTTTACTACACATATTAAACTTTTAAAGGGTTGGCTCAAATAAAGTTGTAACGCAATATACCATAATCATTAAATATGTACTTTGTAATCCTTTGTGCCAGTCACAAGTGCGCTTACTCATGTGATATATGGAGATTAAAATCCCAGTACAATCATCTTTATTAATAGCACATTCCAAAATTTTAACTTTTTCCCTCTGTATGACAACTTAATAACTATATACCTGTGTAAAAAAATCCAGCATCTGCTAAGTTTTCAGGATTTTGTTTGGCTGTGGGGGGCCAGTTATTGTACGAAGCTATCCGTTTCCCTCTCTGGGAATAGTCCGCATATTTTGCCTGTTGAGGTCTCGATGCATGTATAGAGTTTATTTCACTAGCATGGTTTACACTTGGAGGACGCGCACTCGAATGAGGAATAACACTGTCCGTTTCGTTCAGCTGATTAATGTATTGCGGATGGTAGTTAGATGGAACACGTTGCAGACTTCCTAACTCTCCACGATATGTGTCCGGTGTATCTTGTCCATTTGGGAACCCAGGAATTCGAAGTCCCGAACTTAACATACTATGTGTCTGTAAAAAGTATTAAATAATCACTATTACAATTAATATGAGCACAGTGAATTAACTATTAGTTAGTAACTTAGTAAGTTAATGGTATATATCAAAGCATATAGGTAACACAAAATTTTTTTTATCACATATACTTGTAGCATGATAATGACAGTGTCCTATTATAGAGGAAAATCAAAAAAGATCATTGAAATCTGCATAGATTTTACAGTATCTGCATGCCTTATGTTGACAAGACTGCACCCAGCAGAGATACATGTATAATAAAAATCAATAGACAATAAAAAAAATTTAACAGTAAACATGTGAACGTACCAACTATTGATTAGTTATTTGCAAAATGCATTTAACCAACAATATATATAGGCGAATTAAGCAAAGAAAAAAAAAAAAGAAAAATTCCCAAATTATTTGGGATTTTTCACCAACTTAAAATAGAAATATTAATAGAATACACGTACCCTTAGTGAAGTTCACCTTAGTTGAGTTTAAACTGTTCGCATGAACACCAACTTACCAAGAAATACCACTTCTAATATCCCCTTGAACTTCCCACAGCGATAGGGGCAAGGTGCGTAACAATGACACAGCGTCAGAATGCAATCTATAAATAGAAACACACAGAACTGGAAATTTTCATCTATAAATAGATTTAAAAAGTAAACTAACGAAATTTGTCGAAAATGCCAACAAAAAGTATCAATGCACCCTTAGCCTATTCTAATAGTTCTATATACTGTCAAAGTTTTTCATACAAGGAGATACAAGTATGGGAATGAGGTTTAAGCGGCCAAAATCTCTCACCAAGAACTAAGCAGAGTTATAAATAGATATTCTATTTACGCTGTTTCATGATAACTGCGTCGTTCATTTTGGCTTGGGGTAAAAAGCTGAGTGGAGTGGAGTGGAGTCTTGTGGAGTCATGGAGTGGAGTCTGTATCATAACAGTACAGAAAGTTCAGAAAGTTATAAAAACAATTTGATTTCTCTTTATACAATCATTCCCTTGTTACATGGTTTTGGGTTAGTGTGAGAAAAATGAAAAAAAAGTAAATAATGACCTTTAAATGTCACACAGGGGCAAAGACTCTGCCATTCATTAACAATGCACATAGACAAAGCTATGTCTTGTTGACAGCTTTCATATTAAATGGATAAACAGCAATTACTGGTTGAATTTTCAAAAAGGGGGCTCCCATCAGCCACGTACCTCCGATCACTTGACTCTACACTAATTTAGTGTTTCGGCGGTGTGAAACGAGGTATATTTATATAAATTAATTTCATAATGAAGAAATAATTTTCTTCCTACTGCTGCAAATCCGCCTCATCAGGAGTCTATTTGCATTATGCATTTATGCATCTACACATAAACAATAAGATTATTTAATTGTTGAGGAGATGAGAATATCACCCAGGTTTTTATTGCGTTTGTAGGACACAATAGGTAATTCAGAGAAGACTTTTTGGCAGTCTTCATCCTTTGCAAGGATATGCCAATATTTTATCAGTTTTCGTTTTAAATGTCGTATACAGGGGTTGTACTTTGTGACAAAAAACGAGAGGAATTCCTTTTTTCCTGATGCCACTTTTACTTTGCAGGGTTTTTTCTCTGCTATAATTAGCGAGTACATTTTGCATGTTAGATTTGATTTCAATTTTATTATATCCTCTTTTTAAGAGATTAATCTCAAACTCACGCAGAATTTTAAGCAATGTGATTTTATTGCTTGTATTTCTCATATGGCGTATTGTTTCACCTTTGTTAAATCCTTTAAAAACAGAGGAATTATGTGCACTGTTACGTTCCAAATATTGGAATGTATTTGTTGATTTAATGTAGGTTTTAAAATCCAGAATTTGACTGGTTTTAAATCTATTTCCTTTGAACACTGTAGTGTCTAAGAAATTGATTTCTTTTGTAGAAATTTCATATGTGAATTTGAGCAGAGGATGGTATGAATTAGCTATTTCAAATAGCTCATGGATGTAAGTTTCTAATCCATGAAAAATGATAAATCCGTCGTCGCGATAGCGACCATGATATAATATTTTATTTTTCCCTGTAAATTTATCGATGATTTCATCAGTAATTTGGTGTAGGCGTAGGTCGCACACAGATGGGGAACACTTAGAACCCATCGCACATCCTATTGTTTGTTTATACAAAGCAGAGTTGAATTCAAATATATTGTTTTCTAGTACAAGTCGTAGAAGAAAACAAAGATCAGTTGTAGGTGGAGCTGGTATGATATATTCTGCTTTGTTAAAGTTTGTATAGGCCATTTGAACAGCCGTTATTAGCTCCTCGAAATGCATATTGGTGTAGAGCGAAGTTACATCATAACTGACCAGTAGGCACTTAGCGTGTGGTCTAAGTTGTTCGACTTTTAGAATGAAGTCTGAACTGTCCCTGATATACGTGCTTAGTGTTTGCACGATGGGAGTCAAAAAGTAATCTACATACTGGCTTATGCGTTCTGTAGGTGAACCTATTTGTGAGATAATAGGTCGACCTGGTGGAATAATTGGTGAATTGCAGCTACCATTGTTTTTAATCTCATTAAAAGCCTCAATATTGAGCTTGTGTATTTTAGGGAGCAAATATAATCTCCCTACCCTCGTATTTTTAGCTTTCCGTAGAAAGTCATAGGTAATATTGTCAAGTACACCCTTAGTGTTCATCTCAGACAATTTTTGTGTGATAATATTTTCGAGATGATTTAGATTGGGATTAGTAATTTTACAGTAGTATTTGCTATTTAACTGACGTTGACCTTCAAGGATGTAATCAGTTTTTTTAATTACAACGCACATGTTGTTTTTGTCAGCTTTTTTGATAATGATGTCTTTACGACCTTTTAGCCTTTTTAATGCTTGGCGTTCAGAAATGCTTAAATTGTCAGTCGATTTGCGAACTTCCATAGATGACAATTCAAGTCTTGTTTTGTCAATATATGTTTGAACTGAATTGTTTATAATTTGAGGTTCAAAACCGCTTTTCATGCGGAAAGGATGTATATTGTTGTCACTATCTGGGTCATGAAACATGTATTTACATTTTAATTTTCTGGCAAATTCATTAAAATCTCTCATCACTTGTTGTTTGACTTGGTGTGAGATAGGTGAAGGTACAAATTTTAGACCTTTTGCCAAAAGTAAATACTCATCATCTGACAATCTGTCAGGTGTGAGATTAAACACATGATCTCGTGCTATTAGCACTTTATTCTTGTGTTCTCTAATATTTCGAGCTTTAAAATTCATAGCTCTGTTTTTCTTACATTTAGATTTGGCGTTTCGATTGAAACGACGAGCCATTCTGCAAGGGAATGAGTGAAATAATGACAACAGATATATTCCTCAAAATGTGGGAGGAGTTATGGGCGATTTCGCTCCAATCAGATTAAAGCAGCCAATAGGCTATTTTGACATGTGGAAAGATAATGAAATAGATACCTTTCATAGTAATCCGTTTTACTAATCCCAAAAACAAAAGATATGATTCATAGATTTGCACAAACAAAAATAAAATAAATGGAATCTTAACTGAGATTCAGTATAGAATAAAGTCAATTTCAAACAGAGTACATCATATTGTTTTAATATGGACGGAATTTTTGTCCTCTTTGCACTTGTTTCCCGTGTTTTTCTCTGGTGTCCTTTGGTTGTCTCTTAGGAAACCGTTCAGTTGGTTTTCTTACCGATCTAATATTCATTTTGAACTCCATTAGGTAGCGATCAAATTTCTCTTTAAGTTCTCTTGTTTTGTCATTCAATTGTGTCTTAGCAAGACCAGCAGCAGAGGTAGATTTACCAATTGAATTTATGGTTTCTATCCGGATATCTTTAAGATGGTGATTGGATTGACTAATCTTGTCGTCCAGGAAGTCAACTGTTGATTTTAGTGCTTTATCTTTCACAAAGACACTGATAAAATCAACTTCTTATAACATATCTGATATTGTACAATCTTCCTTTTATTATTTTCATACATTTTTGGAATAAAGAGATCTCACAATGGCTGAGACCTAGCCAATATGGGGGATGACACAGTTCTGTAAACTTTCTTTTCTTCAGGATTTCATTTATTTCTCTATGCTAATTTGCAACTGTGAGCATTGTCAGGTACAAGAAAATTACCCTGGATACCAATATTTAGACTTAATTCATTTGCAGGAAATCTGTTTGACTTTCCTTAGTACAATTGGAACATTTAAGTTACCACTGATAGTCCTTTCTTGGGGTGTTTGTGCATGTCTTAGTGGACATCTTGAGAAAAAAAAAATGAAAATTAATAAAACAAGTTTGGAGCTCTTGCTTGTCTTTATGATAATAAGACCACAGATTTTTCTTTGATTTCACATTTTAATACTTATCTTCCTTTTCGGTTAAAAAAAGTACTCCCATGTTTTGTCATCAATCACACAAGTTAAACAAATCTTCAATTTGTTAAATATTCTTTTCTAGACAAACCGTTGTCACATTTAACGCATGTTTTTGTCTGTGGCATTTGTAAGAAAATAAGGCACCTATCTGATAAAAATATTATTACATTCATTTCCTTTGTCAGAATTTTATCAAATGTTGTGATGATAAAATGTTTAGTGTCTAAGCAATGTCTAAGAGAACATTTTTAAACAGTTAGTGACCATGCTTTACTTGAAAGAAAATTTCTTTGCAAGGATAATAGGAAAAATCACGAGGTTTTTACTTTTCAGTGATTGGGAGCTCTTTAATAGAACTTTTCAACTGTGAAAAAATAAAATTTAATACTTCTATATTTATTATGATATACTGTATGTTGATTCATTTATTAAACAACCCTTGCACATGCACAGATCCTGGATTTATTTCCAGGGTGATTCCCACATCAACTCTAACAAAATGTCAACCATGGAAATTAAATGACTCCCTTTCTTCTTTACTATTTAGGAGGGGTCCATGTGTTTCCATAGGGTAGGATAGGCTGGAGTTTAGTCAAAGAAATATTTTAATAGAAATTCAATAAATGAAAATCCTGCCCCCTCCATATCCAAATATGTGGTAGTTAAAAATAAATCATGCATCTTAATAATTCACTTTTCAGTGCAGCTGTTAGCTAAAAAAAAAACTCTAATGATCGCTATTTATCTGTCTGATATTAAAGCTGTCAACACCTCTAAATAGGTTTGTTGGTTTGGGATAGGATTTAAGCCTAGTTTCGTTTATGCATCACCTAGTCTTTGTTATGAGAACATTTTTAGGTGATCCTCTGCTGACATTTAAAGGTCATAATTTTTTGTTTATTTGTTTTTCATAATGAATCTTTTGTTTCTTATTTCATTCTTTTTACACAAATCCAAAATCACATTGCAAGGAATGATTGTATGTTAGGGAAATCAATTTGTTTTTATAACTTTCTGAACTTTCTGTACTGTTATGATACAGACTCCACTCCATGACTCCACTCCACTCCAATCCACTCAGCTTTTTACCCCAAGCTGTTCATTTTCTGTGGGACACAACAGCAATATGTTTAGTTATATGGGATAAACATCTACTTGCAAAAGGTCAAGTCATGCGTATATGCATACGCAGCATAGATCTCATGGTAACTCTCTACCATCGGCTCCGTACATTCACCTGTTCACCTACAGCTGTCTTTGGCTCGCGTATATCACAGTGAAAAGCACGCGAAATAGTGCGTTTGTTTTAATTCATTATAATTAAACGTCTGGGCTAATGATAGTCCATAATGATAGTTATTTACTAAATAGATCTAAAACTATTAGTTTAGTTTGAAATAATCCTTGAAATGATATGGTTTTTACATATTAATCTTGTCAGGGTGGAGAGAGGAACGAACGATAACTCTGCGGCACCGTGTAATTCATGGACTGGAGGCATGGAGTGGAGTTATGGAGTGGAGTTTGGAGTCAAATTTTGGAGTCAAATTTTGGAGTCTAATATTTTTTTTTAAAACATGAATGGAAAAAGATGTTCAGGAAATTGCATTATTATGAAAGTCTTTTAAATTAATTTTTTTTTTGTACATTTGTTTGCTGTTTCTTGTCTTGTACTAAACAGATTGACAATTCATAGGTACTATGACTTAATCAAAATGTCTAAGTTTCTGAAACTTAAGTAAGTAAGTACTTAAGTAAGTATTTGTAACTTTAGAAAATTACATCAGTATTGAATAGACAGACATGATACTGACAAGATAACCCCTGTTCTTCAAAAATATTTGGAAACTGTTGAATATTATTAATCAACAGATATAGTCGGTCTTACTGATTATTTTAATACAGTTTAATTTGACGTGTTAAAACCTGTCAAGAGCTACTAGGTTCAGTGTTTAAAGCAATTTATAAGTATCAGTATATACACTCACCTATTCATTACCTTCCATGCTAAATTAAAAAAAAATATAATCAGTTTTAAAATAAGTTTCACACTTTATACCACTTTTATATGGTGTACTAAAGGGTTCACCCACTCCCTTACTTCAGCGACATAGCAGTTATCATACTAATATCTCTCCCTTTTCCTCACTCGGATGACTCCCTCACCCTCAAAAACAACAAATCAACTATGGGTCGTATCACACTTCAAGTGAAAGCAATGTGTTGTTTTTACTCCAGTTTATCTTTTTTAAACATTGAATAAATTTTCAGTTTTCTGATTGATAGTGAAAACGAGAAACAATGGAATGTCAGATTCAGCATAAAACACCTAATGACCTTAAAATGTCAACAAAGGGGGTTGGGGGCAGCTTGTGCTTTTGATTTTAATTTTGAAAGATAACAGATGCAGAGTGAAATGAAATATCTAACTTAGGTCAGATTTATCATCGACCCGCACAACTATCTCACACACAAAAAATTTAAAATGTTGACAGATTTAATTACTACAATACTATTACCTGAAAGAAATGCTTACTCAGTTTTTGCTTAAAATAATAATGTTGTGATCAAATGATACAATTTTATACAAACTGGGACTTATCATTTACCGGTAATCTTCTAATACTTTAAAAAAAAAAAAAGATTAAAAAAGACATTATTAATGTTTTGTTCTTTGTGATTTAGTAGTTCTGGTATAATATTATTGGTAATATTATTGGTGAAATTTATTGTCAATGTTATAATAGCTTTCCTTAATACATATTTAACAAAAATATAAATATCTCATTTATAAATAATTATTTATAAATATATATATAACTTTTTGTTTATACTTTGATAATGTAAAAATCAGAAAATAATTTGAAGGAATCTGTCTTACCAGTTAATTGTGTACTTTTCAGCTGTTGATATTTAATTAAATCTGTCATGACTTTATGGGTTAGCAGTGCCGGATCAGTGATAAATCTGTCCTAAGTTATATGTTTTGATTTCACTCAGCACTTGTTTTCTAACAAAATGAAATCAAGGCAATAGCTGCCCCTTAGTTGACATTTTTAGGTCATTGTTTTTTTTAATTCTGTTGTTTCTCGTTTCTCGTTTCTTGTTTCTCGTTTCGTGTTTTACACATACCCAGACTTACACTGGCTCATAGAGAAAAGACAGAATCATCACACCCAGTTTCAGAGATGCTGATTAAACTTTGAACGATGACCATTTAATTTTGGAGTATATGATCTAGTGTTAAATTAACTTGAACAGCATGCATGCATTAAAATTATTGCATTCTTTAGGAGTTTATATAAATATTATCATCCCTTAACTAGCATAACAGTGCATTCCTTCCCATTAACTTCTTAATTGATAAAAATTGTGAGTCACCATTATTGCATTGTATTCATATAACAGTATCATAATATTATTTAATTATTTAAGTAAATGTATGTCAATTATTGATAATCTTTTTTTAAATTCACATTTTAAGATACAAAATTGATGGTTTCAAATCTACAGTAGATTATATAGAGAGAAATATCATCAATCTTATTCTACAAACAGCCTTGTAACAATATATTAACCTACATTATGTTCAGCTGTGTGGTCAAAAACCTATAAAAGTTTTAGCAGACATAACAAAGATGTGACAGAAAGCTAAAATTTAGTTCAAAGGGTTTTATCACCTTCCAATTATGTGTTGAAAGCTATTGTGATCATTATTATGTAACAGTTAAATTTGATTAAAACATAGAATAAACTGTCACTGTTTTAGATAACACACTTTTTGACAATGAGAGTGAAATTAATACCCACGACCTTATCTGAAAGAATTTGCGGGAATTTGATGCAGCCACTGTATGTCCCACATAATCTGTCAAGAGTTGTTTGTACAAGAGCATGTAGGCAGTGTTAGGCAATTATAACAGACCCATTTAT